CTATATTTTGCTTGGAGCGTCTTGTATTATTTGAGTCTTTATTTGTTAGTTTTCCACAATCATCCTTGTGCACACCCCTTTCTGAGAGAGACACACATGATTCGGAAATTATTAGAATACTCTATGTGCTTCACTTATATCTTTTGAGTTATATAGTTTTTGCTCTAGTGCTTCACTTATATTTTTTAAAGCACGTCGGTGGATTTGTTTTATAGAAACCATTGTTCTCTCATGCTTCACTTAGATTATTTTGAGAGTCCTACAAAACAACATGGTAATTTTCTTTAATTATTTGAGGCATTCAAGATTAAATAAATAAAATTTTCTTATGAGTGTGTTGAATACTATGAGAAGTTTAAAACTTGATAATTGTTTTGAGATATGGAGATGGTGATATTAGAGTCGTGCTAGTTGAGTAATTGTGAATTTGAGAAATGCTTGTGTTAAAGTTTGTGATTCCCGTAGCATGCACATATGGTGAACCGTTATGTTAATAAGTCGGAGCATGATGTATTTAATGATTGTCCTCCTTATGAGTGGCGGTCGGGGACGAGCGATGGTCTTTTCCTACCAATCTATCCCCCTAGGAGCATGCGCGTAGTACTTTGCTTTGATAACTAATAGATTTTTGCAATAAGTATGTGAGTTCTTTATGACTAATGTCGAGTCCATGGATTATATGCACTCTCACCCCTCCACCATTGCTAGCCTCTCTAATACCGCGCACCTTTCGCCGGTATCATACACCCATCATACCCTTCCTCAAAACAGCCACCATACCTACCTATCATGGCATTTCCATAGCCATTCCGAGATATATTGCCATGCAACTTTCCACCATTCCGTTTATCATGACACGCTCCATCATTGTCATATTGCTTTGCATGATCATGTAGTTGACATTTTAGTTGTGGCAAAGCCACAGTTCATAAATTCTTTCATATAAGTCACTCATGCATCATTGCTATCCCGGTACACCGCTGGAGGGATTCACATAGAGTCATACTTTGTTCTAGTATCGAGTTGTAATCATTGAGTTGTAAATAAATAGAAATGTGATGATCATCATTCATAGAGTATTGTCCCAAAAAGGCCCAAAAAAAGAAAAAAGAAAAGAAAAAGGGGCAATACTACTATCCTTTTTTCCACACTTGTGCTTCAAAGTAGCACCATGATCTTCATAATAGAGAGTCTCCTATGTTATCACTTTCATATACTAGTGGGAATTTTTCATTATAGAATTTGGCTTGTATATTCCAACGATGGGCTTCCTCAAAATGCCTTAGGTCTTCGTGAGCAAGCAAGTTGGATGCACACCCACTTAGTTTCTTTTTGTTGAGCTTTCATATATTTATAGCTCTAGTGCATCCGTTGCATGGCAATCCCTACTCACTCACATTTATATCTATTGATGGGCATCTCCATAGCCCATTGATACGCCTAGTTGATGTGAGACTATCTTCTCCCTTTTTGTCTCCTCCACAACCACCATTCTATTCCACCTATAGTGCTATGTCCATGGCTCACGCTCATGTATTGCTTGAAAATTGAAAAAGTTTGAGAACATTAAAAGTATGAAATAATTGCTTAGCTTGTCATCGGGGTTGTGCATGATTTGAATACTTTGTGTGGTGAAGATGGAGCATAGCCAGACTATATGATTTTGTAGGGATAACTTTCTTTGGCCATGTTATTTTGAAGAGACATAATTGCTTAGTTAGTATGCTTGAAGTATTATTATTTCTATGTCAATATTAAACTTTTGTCTTGAATCATTCGGATCTGAATATTCATACCACAATTAATAGAATTACATTGAAATTATGCTAAGTAGCATTCCACATCAAAAATTCTGTTTTATCATTTACCTACTTGAGGACGAGCAGGAATTAAGCTTGGGGATGCTTGATATGTCTCCAACGTATCCATAATTTTTTATTGTTCCATGCTATATTATATTTTGTTTTGGACATTATTGGGCTTTATTTTACACTTTTATATTATTTTCGGGACTAACCTATTAACCGGAGGCCCATCCTAGAATTGTCGTTTTTTGCCTATTTTAGGGTTTCACAGAAAAAGAATATCAAACGGAGTCCAAACGGAATGAAACCTTCGGGAACGTGATTTTCGGAACGAACATGATCCAGAGGACTTGGACCCTACGTCAAGACATCAACCAGGAGGCCACGAGGTAGGGGGCGCGCCTACCCCCCTGGGCGCGCCCTCCACCCTTGTGGGCCCCCTGTTGCTCCACCGACGTACTCCTTCCTCCTATATATACCTATGTACCCCCAAACTACCAGATACGGAGCCAAAACCCTAATTCCACCGCCATAACTTTTTGTATCCACGAGATCCCATCTTGGGGCCTGTTACGGAGCTCCGCCGGAGGGGGCATCGATCACGGAGGGCTTCTACATCAACACCATAGCCCTTCCGATGAAGTGTGAGTAGTTTACTTCATACCTACGGGTCCATAGTTATTAGCTAGATGGCTTCTTCTCTCTTTTTGGATCTCAATACAAAGTTCTCCCCCTCTCTTGTGGAGATCTATTCGATGTAATCTTCTTTTGCGGTGTGTTTGTTGAGACCGATGAATTGTGGGTTTACGATCAAGTTTATATATGAGCAATATTTGAATCTTCTCTGAATTCTTTTATGTATGATTGGTTATCTTTGCAAGTCTCTTCGAATTATTAGTTTGGTTTGGCCTACTAGATTGATCTTTCTTGCAATGGGAGAAGTGCTTAGCTTTGGGTTCAATCTTGCGGTGTCCTTTCCCAGTGACAGTAGGGGCGGCAAGGCACGTATTGTATTGTTGCCATCGAGGATAACAAGATGGGGTTTATTTCATATTGCATGAGTTTATCCCTCTACATCATGTCATCTTGCTTAAAGCGTTACTCTGTTCTCTTGAACTTAATACTCTAGATGCATGCTGGATAGCGGTCGATCTGTGGAGTAATTCTACTTGTTTCGGACGTGATGCCTATATACATGATCATACCTAGATATTCTCATAACTATGCTCAATTCTGCCAATTGCTCAATAGTAATTTGTTTACCCTCCATGAATACTTATGCTCTCGAGAGAAGCCACTAGTGAAACCTATGGCCCCGGGGTCTATCTTCCATCATATTAATCTTCCAGTACTTAGTTATTTCCTTTGCCATTTATTTTACTTTGCATCTTTATCATAAAAATACCAAAAATATTATCTTATCATATCTATTAGATCTCACTCTCATAAGTGGCCGTGTAGGGATTGATAACCCCTTATCGCGTTGGTTGCGAGGATTTATTTGTTTGTGTAGGTACGAGGGACTCGTGCGTGGCCTCCTACTGGATTGATACCTTGGTTCTCAAAAACCGAGGGAAATACTTACGCTACTCTGCTGCATCACCCTTTCCTCTTCAGGGAAAAACCAACGCAAGTGCTCAAGAGGTAGCAGGGGCCATAAGGCATCAGGGCGCGCCCAGGGGGTGACCAAGCCCTGTTGCCTTATGGGCAACTGGTGCCCCCCCTTGGTGTTTCTTTGCTCTAGTATTTTTTATATATTCAATAAAAGTTCATCGTGAATTTTTAGGTCATTTGGAGCTCTGTAGATAGTTATCTCTATTATAGCTCTTTTAGGTTCAGAACTCCAGCTGCCAGTAATCTCCCTCTCCATTCAATGCTTGCAAATCAAGAGAGAAAAGGCATGAGAATTGCATCATAAAGTGAAATGACCCAAAAATAATATAAATATCAGTAGGAAAACATGATGCAAAATGGATGTATCAGCCATCGCTTGCGGCGGATCTCGCGGGTGCTACGCATGGACTAGTACAACGTATGTTGCTCAACTAGGAATCTGGGATCCTCTCCGACCATGGCCACGATGGCACAGTCGTTCGCCTACTCCCCGGTGATTTGTCCCTCCACGAGTCGGTGCTCATCGAGGAGCCGAAGGTTGTATCTTTAGTCCTCCTGTGCTTGTCGGAACATCGACATCGGCGAGCCTGCTGCTTTTCTGCCAATACGACGTTGAAGTGCGCTCATGCGTGCTCCAATGATATGCCGACATGGACCGACGAGGGCGGTGGTGTCGGCTTGTCGTCGTATGCCTCGTCCATCCTCTCGTTGGCGTCGCTGCCCGCCGGCGAGCTCGCCGGCAAGCTTGCCTCTATTCGACTGGCACGACAAGCCTGCTAGTTGGCCAGCTCTTGCTTTTGTGCGGTGAAGAGGCTGTCCCATAACGCTTTGGAGCTCGAGGTCATGGTAGACGTGGAGCAACTAGGAGATCAGGAGCGGAGGTGGGGTGTGGTGCGGTGCGGACCGTGTCGGCTTGGCCATCTATAAATAGCGGGCGCTGGCCAGGCCAACTGATAGGATGTGTGAATGCGGACGCCAGAGTGGGTTTCTCCGCAGTTGTGCTTTCTTTAATGCCGTCAGGCGGACAGACGGGCAACCTATTTGAATGCGGGGAGAGCCGTCCGGTCACGCCGCTCTAGCATTGAACAAGTGCGGAGACCGGACGTGGCGCGAGCAGCATTCTCGGTCGACGCGTGCGAGAGGGTTTCGTTTGGGACCGAGGTGTTGACGCGCGCGTGCCAACGGTCCGGACTCCTGTAAAGCCTCATCCCCATAGATTTGCCTTCGGTTTACGAGAAAACAGAGTTGAGACCGATCTGTGAAGCAATGACAAAATGCGTCTGGACCGCTTGATCAGGACGGATACAGGCGGTCTGAGAGTCCGCTTTGAAGATGCCCTTAGGCTTAAAAAAAGATTAAGAAAGCTGCTTTACTTGCGGTATCCTTGTGTCACGCACGCCGTCATGTTTTTGGCCGTCCTACATGTGTTAAGAAAAAGGATATTCCCAAATCGACAAAAGCAGATAAAGCACGCAAAGAAGAGAAGAAAAGAAACTGCTAAAAGGGAAGAGAGAAAAGAAGAAAGAAAAACTAAAAGCGGGTTGTGGTTTGTGCGTCCGAGCATGACACAAACTGAAGGAAATGATCATTACGGCAAGGAAATCTCAGCTGAAAGCGAGCCGGCGTCACACTGCCACTGAACTCTACCTAGTACTCCTACAAGCACAATGCCCGAGCCCTCAAAACGACACGGCCGGTCACGCGGGCGAGCCGTTAAACGAGCAAGGGGAGGGAGCGGTGGTGGGGTACGCCGCCATGGACTCGCGCTTCTCCTCCGGCTCCGGGGACGTGGTGCGTTGCGCTTCCCGCCTTCTTCTTCTGATTTGGACGGACGAAATCCGAATGTCTTTTATGAGCTGCGATTTCCCGTGTTTGTCTGCAGAGGTCGGGGAGCTCGCTGACGGTGGGGGAGCGGCTCTGCGCCGCCTTCTTGCCCTTCGTTGCCGTCGCCGAGGCCGTCTTTTTCGTCCTCGCCGACTGCCTCGCCGACATCTGCCCTTCCTCGTCCTCCTCCTCGCGCCTGCGCAGAGAATCCTCTGCTTCGTCCTTCCTCACGGCCAAGAAGAAGAGCCATCACCTGTTCCGCCGCCGCGTCGGGCCAGGCTGCACCTCCCTCGACTTCCGCAACCTTGCCCGCCTCGCCGAGGAGTCCCGTTGCTGTACTTAAATCCCTCTTCCCCCCTTCCGGGTTCTTAGTTCTTACCTGCCGTTCTTTGCAATGTCGTTTGATCCAGTTCTCCCTCCCTCTCTCTCTTTTCCTTTTGAAATTGAACGAAGTCTCGGTGAACGAGGTGGAGGCGCTGTTCGAGCTCTACAAGAAGATCAGCTGCTCCATCATCGACGACGGGCTCATCCACAAGGTACCTCCAAAAACCGCTTCAGTTCTTACATCTGGCGCTTCTTCCGATCAGTAAATTAGTGATGAATTGCTTGCTTCTCGCTCTTCTTTTCAGTGCAGGGAGCAGTTTATATGTTTTTAAAACCTCAAGCCGTGTTCTATCCCGTGGTCGTGGGTAACTGGGTTCTGCCTGCAGGCTGCAGCCTGAAAGGAATAGGTTTTACTGGCCGCATGTATAGTGACACTTTGATAGATATACATGATCGTTTAGGAGTATCTGGTTATACGAGAGCGATGCGCAACCAAATTTTTTTTTTTTGGACACCAGTGTGATGTGCAACTTAGCATCTGATCACGAAGTGTTGGGCCGACTGCTAACGTATCCAGACATGACCAGTGCACATGGGAGTATTATAAAATTGGTTTGACAGCACATAGAATTTTTCCAGGTTAGCAAGTTGTGTGGCTTCCATGTGCACAATCAACCTTAAAGCCTGCATCTCTGTATGTGTGGTTGTCATGTTCCTTCTTGTGTCATCCCAAGTGATCCAACATAATGGTGATTGGTCAAGTATTGAGTGCATATAAGTTTTTTATCAAGCTAACACTATCGTAATTTTGCATTTACTTGACTGGTGTGCACATATAACGTCTTGGGATAAAAAATACTAGTGGCTTAAGAACATCGTGAGTAATAAACAAAGTTTGAATGTCCTATCTTCTCGAATACTAGTGTGATTGGAACTGTCGATTTTTTCCTCTTATCTGTTTCATCTGTTGAAATGTTGTTTAGGAAGAACTGCAGCTAGCATTATTCAAGACTCCTAGCGGGCAGAATCTTTTTATTGACAGGGTGAGTGTTTGAATCATTTTTCTATCTTTAAATGCTGTGAAGTTCATTATTTACACAAAGTTCTGAATTCTTGTTCTTGTTATTATGGAATTATTCACATCACATGTTGCTAGAAATAAAACACACGGCTAAAGTTGTTCTCTGTAATCCAGGTTTTTGATTTGTTTGATGAAAAGAAGAATGGAGTAATAGAGTTTGATGAGTTTATTCATGCTCTCAGTGTCTTCCATCCATGTTCACCTGTGGAGGATAAGATTAATTGTAAGTACGGTTCCTGCTGAAATCACCTGCCCATATTAATGTGATGAGATATTTAAAGGGGCCGCTCTCTTTCTGTTTTCTTTTTCAGTTGCATTTAAGCTGTATGATTTGAGGCAAACCGGATTTATTGAGCGTGAAGAGGTTAGTTCATTATCATGTTCTATTTTTATATCTATTATGGATGTAATTCTCCTTTTAAGCTGATCCTCGGCAAGATGATCCATTGGCATGCCTGTTTCTTTAGGTTATGCAAATGGTTATTGCCATTTTGAATGAATCTGATATGAAATTGTCTGACGAGCTTCTTGAGGCCATCATAGATAAGGTAAACAATAACTTGCTTGGCCATCTCTGGTAAATTTTCTTAATCATCTTGTGTGGATGCATGGTTTTCAGTTTCAGTTTCAGAAAAATTTCAGTAGATGTAAGTGTTACTTGACGTTTCAGACGTTTGAAGACGCTGATACTGATAGGGATGGGAAAATCAGCCAAGAAGAATGGAAGGAATTTGTATTGCGCCACCCTAATCTGTTAAAGAACATGACCCTACCCTATCTTAGGTTTGAGTTTGAAAGCTACAACCAATTAACTGCAATTGTTGTTTTGTAAATTACAGCCAGCATGGTTTATAGCTATCCAGAGATTTCTTGTCATTGTTCTTCAAAGAATAGATTTGTCGTTGTTTACTTTACTGATTTCTTCTCCATGTCATATAATTCAGGGACATCACAACATCTTTTCCTAGTTTTGTCTTCAACACGGCAGTTGAAGACTAAATAGTGCAAGATTCCTACATGACGGCGACAAGTTGGCAGCATATTATGTCTGTCAGCTCTCTTGTTGAATATCGGGTTTCCTGAGAAAAAGAACACTCATAACCACCTACTGAAGAAAATTACCATCGGTGACTGTTGATTGTGTCTGTCATCAGAGAACTGAATCGGCGCCGAACCAACGACCACGACGGCAACTTAGAAATGAAGCAACGGTCATGAGCTCAAACTGGTATTTTCAAAGCTGTACATACATCACTCCTTAAGCTCTGAAAAGCTCAGGAGCAACTGTACATATATGCTCGAGCTTGTACAAGGGAATCCAGACAAGGCTCCGGAAGTGCCAGCCAGTTCTGGAATCAGCAGTTAGTTTCTTCAAGTGCCTTCCCGCCTAACAGACTATCTTATGAATTCTATACATTTGAATCGACCTGCTCCTTGAGGAACATGTCATGCATTAGCTTTGGTTGTTGTTGTTTTTTTCTTCTTCTTTTTGGGTCAGAAACCTTCCGGAGACGCATGTTTTTGCTTGGCGGTAGCAGCAAAATACTGCTGAACAATCTACCTGATGTTGTTTCATGGACCAATCATCCAGTCCGTGGTAGGGACATATATATAGTACTCCCTCCGTCCTAAAATAAATGTCGTGGGTTTAGTTTAAATTTGGATAAATTTGAACTAAACCACGACATTTATTTTGGGACGGAGGCAGTAGCAAGTTTTTTTTTGGAAATGGAGGTATATCCCCGGCCTCTGCATCATGATGATGCATGCAGCCCTTTTATTAAAAATTCAGAAAGTATCATCATAAAGGTTTTACAGCTCGCAAACGGAGCAAAGTCATAGCATAAAGATCTGAAAAAATAAAGGGCCTAAAAAAATAAAACAACCGATACGGTGATAATAGGGACAAGCTCTCTAGCCCTCTATCCTGTTATGCGACCGCCATCCGAACCGGTTGAATATAGCCCGAGTTACCATCTCCTATTGGTTGCACCCAGTAACCAAAGGCTCCAAGTCCATAGGAGGCAGTAGCAAGTAGTCCTGTTTTATAAGATTTCAAGCCTTTGGTGTTCCTTGGATTATGCAAGGACAGTTCTTCATCTAAAAAATGTCTTCGACTGGTATAAGATTGCACATCATATCAAGTGTTTCACATCATATTTTTCTAGTGCTAATCGTTGAAGTGAAGTAAAGTAAGTTTCTTCGACTGGGATAACAGATTGCACATCATATCGAGTGCTTCACTCCCTGCAGAAAGAGAACTCACACCAATCACCAAATGCCAGCATTATGGTGAAAAGAATCATCCCTGGTGGGCTGCACGTACAACCAACCTTCTAACCATCCAATTAAAATTTGATTCCCATTTATAAAAGGATCACAGGTTGATTATTCATTATGCATTATTTCTATTATAGTGTCAAAACAAACTTGATCAACCCAGAATAGTCGCATCATATACTAGAAACTAGAAACAAGGAAATCTGGGGGATACAACACGCGTAGGTGGATGGAACCTGATAGATATTATGATGAGCTGTCCTCTTGGCTTCTAGCGGCACTGTTGAAGTTCACTTTCATGAAGTTTTTTGACAAAGGAATAATAATAATAATATCAAAAAGATATTATGGCCTCTACACCAAAATGACTCAAGAGCTACCCAAAACATCGAGGATGCACATAGCTAAATTATTACAAAACAAAGAAAAAAAAGATCAACACGACAGCGGCAACAAACAACATCAACAACCATTAATGATGGCAACCCAAGGTACCAAGATAGATGCTTCAACAACGGCGCCTCCATAAATGAAACAAGGCACGGACCCTGTCGTCGCTGGATCCGATCATCGAGGCCAGACCATTGGTTTTCACCTCGGAGAAGAGTCTAGTAAACTCCAGGCAATACCTTCAACAAGGGAGCGCCTCGTGAACGACAGGTTGAACCAATGAAAGTCGGACCTGATAGATCATGGGTTTTCAGCCCTGGAACTCGTGCCCATGCACTAGAAAAGCATCTCCTTTGTTTTGAAGCAAAACCCATAGAACAATCGGTTGTACGGTGTACATTATTAATAAAAGAATAGAAGTTCAAATATGTACATAGAAAAGCACCTCCTAGATGATGTCACCTTGTTCTGCCACCACTTGTCGATCCAATATCGCACAGTCATTCAGACGCACATTTCTGGTAGACCTAGCGACACAATTAGAACCATGCCCACCTAACACATGTTGTTGAGCAGTGTCGTAGGTACACTCGCCATCTCCCCGATTCCATGCCATCAAGAGTCCAGACTGCCCACATAACCGATTTTGGTCAATCACATGGGGCAATGTGACGTCCCCGATTTGACCGTACACTAATCATACATGCAAACGTGTACGATCAAGATCAGGGACTCACGGGAAGATATCACAACACAACTCTACAAATAAAAATAAGCCATACAAGCATCATATTACAAGCCAGGGGCCTCGATGGCTCGAATACAAGAGCTCGATCATAGACGAGTCAGCGGAAGCAACAATATCTGAGTATAGACATAAGTTAAACAAATTTGCCTTAAGAAGGCTAGCACAAATTGGGATACATGTCGAAAGAGGCGCAGGCCTCCTGCCTGGGATCCTCCTAAACTACTCCTGGTTGTCGTCAGCGGGCTGCACGTAGTAGTAGGCACCTCCCGAGTAGTAGTAGTAGTCGTCGAAGGTGGCGTCTGGCTCCTGGGCTCCAACGTCTGGTCGCAGCAATCGGGTATAGAAAAGGGGAAAGGAAGGAGCAAAGCAACCGTGAGTACTCATCCAAAGTACTCGCAAGCAAGGAGCTACACTACATATGTATGCATTGGTATCAAATGGAATAAGGGTATCATATGTGGACTGAACTACAGAATGCCGGAATAAGAGGGGGATAGCTAGTCCTTTCGAAGACTACGCTTCTGGTAACCTTCATCTTGCAGCGGGAGAAGAGAGTAGATGGTAAGTTCACCAAGTATCATCGCGTAGCATAATCCTAACCGATGATCCTCCCCTCGTCGCCCTGTGAGAGAGCGATCACCGGTTGTATCTGGCACTTGGAAGGGTGTCTTTTATTAAGTATCCGGTTCTAGTTGTCATAAGGTCAAGGTACAACCTCGGGTCGTCCTTTTACCGAGGGACACGACTATTCGAATAGATCAACTTCCCTGCAGGGGTGCACCACATTTCCCAACACGCTCGATCCCATTTGGCCGGACACACTTTCCTGGGTCATGCCTGGCCTCGGAAGATCAGCACGTCGCAGCCCTACCTAGGCACAACAGAGAGGTCAGCACGCCAGTCTAAATCCTATGGCGTAGGGGTCTGGGCCCATCGCCCTTTGCACACCTGCACATTGCGAACGCGGCCGGAGAGCAGACCTAACAATCTCCATTACAAAGGAAGTTGCGTTACGCGGTCCAACCCGGCACGTGCCGCTCAGTCGCTGACGTCACGAAGGCTTCGGCTGATACCACGACGTCGAGTGCCCATAACTGTCCCCGCGTAGATGGTTAGTGCGTATAGGCCAGTAGCCAGACTCAGATCAAATACCAAGATCTCGTTAAGCATGTTATTTTGAAATAACCACGGACGCCGACCAGGGCCAGGCCCACCTCTCTCCTAGGTGGCCTCAACCTGCCCTGTCGCTCCGCCACAAAGTAACAGTCGGGGGCCTTCGGGAACTCAGGCCCACCTCTACCAGGATGGAGCCACCTGCCCCTTCAGCCCCCAACATCGGAATCACTCGCGGGTACTCCTACGAGCCGACCCGACTTTAGTCACCACCTGTATAGCATGTATATATGTATAAGTATATACCCGTGATCACTTCCCGAGTGATCACGGCCCGGTAGTATAGCATGGCAGACGGACAAGAATGTAGGGCCACTGATGATAAACTAGCATCCTATACTAAGCATTAGGATTGCAGGTAAAGGTAACAACAGTAGCAGCAAGGACAGGCTATGCATCAGGATAGGATTAACGGAAGCAGTAACGTGCTACACTACTCTAATGCAAGCAGTATAGAGAAGAGTAGGCGATATCTGGTGATCAAGGGGGGGAGGGGGCTTGCCTGGTTGCTCAGACAAGGAGGGGTCGTCGGTGACGCAGTCGGATGGGGCACCAGCAGCGGCGTCGGTCTCGTAGTCTACCGGAGAGAAGAGGGGGAAGAAACAATGAATACAATGCAAACAGATGCATAACGATGCATGACATGACAAGTATCAGTGCTAGGGGTGCCCTAACGCGGTACGAGGTGGTACCGGTGAAGGGGGAAAACATCCGGGAAAGTATTCCCGGTGTTTCGCGTTTTCGGACAGATGAACCGGAGGGGGAAAGTTACTGTTTGCTATGCTAGGGATGCGTGGCGGACGAACGGGTTGCGTATCCGAATTTGTCTCGTCGTTCTGAGCAACTTTTATGTACAAAGTTTTTCCATCCGAGCTACGGTTTATTTTATATTAATTTTAAAAGATTTAAATCATTTTAGGATTTATTTAATTAATTAAATCAACATTATCCAGAATAGTTTGGAATGATGTCAGCATGACGTATGTGTGACGTCAACGGTCAACAGTGCGGTCAATTAGAGTCAAACCTGACCTATGGGTCCAGTGGGACCCACATGTTAGATTATGTTAGTCTAACAGTGGATTAAACAAACTAATCTAGGCTAATTAGCTACTAGACCCCACCTGTCATAGGTAATTGACTAAACTAATTAAGTTTTAATTATAATTATGTTTTAGTTAACTTAATATGCAGTAGGGCCCGCATGTCAGTGGCTGGAGGCTGCCCAGTCAGCTCAGTTGACTGGGTCAACCCAGTCAACTGGGGCCAGGGGACCCACTGGCAGTGACCCAGGTGGGCCCCAGTGACCGGCCACGTCAGCGGCGGCACCGGAGGGAGCTCCAGCGAGCCACTTCTACGGCGGCGTGGCTTGGCATCCGCCAGAAAACATCGACAGGGGGTCTCCGGG